GTTGGAGGTTGACCATGGTGCGAAAGAGATAGTTCCAGAGCGTGAAGCCGAAGGTCCAGTCGCGTCGGAATTGCGTCTCTGCTCGGCGTTGCACGGCGGCCGCCCAGTCGTGGACGTCGACCTCGGGCGCCGTCGGATCCCTGGCGCGGCGGCGCGCGGCCGCCGCCGATCTGGCGTTGCTCTGGACGTCCGGGCAGGCGGTGCCGTGCTTGAAGCAGAAGCAGAAGGCGGTGGCGAAGTAGAGCGGCTGGAACTGGTCGACGAGGCGGTTGCCGGTCCGCAGCTCGATGGTCTCCACCTTCTTGTCCCGCTCCGTGCGGAGCTGCGCTTCCAAGTCGTTCAGCGCGGCCACGGCCACGGCGTTCTGATCTTCGCGGTCCTCGCTGTAGCCCTCGGGGAGGATGGCTCTGGCTCGCTGGTTCGCGAAGACCGCGCCGGCCTTGGCGGCGTCTTCGATGCGGCCGTCGTGCGGGGTGGCCGCCTTCTGCGGCTGCAGCTTCTCCTGGTCCTCGTCGTCGTTCTCGTCGTTGGCCGTGTGGATCACCTTGAGCACCTCGGGCGGCACGCCGTTTTCCGGGAGCTCCTTGGCCGCGAGCCGAACGGCCTCTTCCTCGGCGTGCTGGAAGGCCGGGTGGCCCAGGCGCTTCATCTCCAGGATGAGGTCCACCACCACGCTTCTCCTAACGGTCGCCTGGTGAATCAAGGTCTTGATCTCGTCCTCCGTGGTCTTGCCCGTCTTGTTGGTCTTCAGGAGCACCCGCACCACGTCGCCGAGCTGCCGTCCTCCACGCGGCAAAGTGCCGGCCGGGGCTTCCGCGGAGTTCACGCATTCTTCGTGGTCTTGCAGGTTCTGCAGCAGCTCCTCCCAGGCCAGCGGGAAGGTCAGGGCGTTGCCTCGCGCGCCCAGGCGATGTCGGGCGTTGTGCGCCTGTGCGTCCAGCGGCGCGGCTTCGGCTCGGTGCTTGGCTTCCATGGAGAAGCACAGCAGCGTCGTCACGCAGGGGCTGGCGCTGATCATCTCCATCACCGTCACTTTCCTCTGGTGGAGGAGTTCGGGCGCGTAGCCCGTCCACATGTCGTTCCGGAGGCTCAGCGGCGGCAGCTGATTGTCGCGCAGATGCTTGGCGCAGCTTCGGCACAGTGGCACCTCGCACTGGTCGCACAGCTCGCCCTCGGTGACGTGTTCGGGATGCCCGCTGCAGCGATGATCTTCGGGACAGCACAGCACGTAGCCTCGCTCCGGCACGAGCAGGCGCCACTCGCGGAAGTCCGTGAAGGAGCTGAGCTTGACGTCGCCCGTCAGCTTGTCGTAGGCGTCGAGGTACTTTTGCAGGTCGAAGACTTCGTGCAGCCTCCTCGCCGCCGCCTCGCGGTGCTCTTCGCCGCCTTCGTGCCCCAAGGGTCGGCACCACTGGATCTCCCCCTTGTCTTCCGTCTCGGCGACGCAAGGGTGGATGCAGGCGCACGAGAAGCAGATCAGCGCCTCGACCTGATCGCCGGCTGTGGCTTCGCTGAAGCTCTTCAGTGCTGTGCGATCCCGCGAACATCCGGCGACGGGGGCTTGAGCGCGGCACTTGATGGCCACGGCTTCGTTGTAGACGCTCCTGACCGCGTCCCGGGGAATGGGCTGTGGCATCCGGTCGATCGACGGCTGGAGCTTCGTCAGGTGGTCTGCGGCGACGTGTTCGTGCAGGTCCTCTTCGGTGCCGCTGTCGGCGGCCCAGGCGCAGTCTCGAAAGGCGCAAAAGACTCGCGGCCACGCCTCGCCTGCATCCAGGTCTTCGATCTTGGCGGAAGGCGGCAGCAGCGGATCGTCTCGAAGGTGCGTGTCGGCCAAGTGCTGCAAGGCTTCTTCGAGCCTGCGACGCGGGTGCTCGGAGTTCGAGGTGACTTCGGCCTTGTTCAGATCCTGGACGATGTCCTCGTGTTGCGAGCGTGCCGGTCTGTGCATCGGCGGCGGAGCAGGGTTCTGATCGGCTTCTTCCTGGAGCAGTGCGTTCCCGTTGGGCCGCGCCGCCCTGAATCTCGCCTTGGGCTTGGGCGCCGGTTTGGCCGCGGTCTTGGGCCGCTTGTTTCTTTCGTTGCGGGGTCGCGGTCTGCCTTCTTCCGGCGGTGGCGGTGGCGGTGGGGGCAGCGGAGGAGGTGATGTCGGCGGCGGCAGCGGCGACGGCGGGGCCGAAGCGTCGTGCGGCTGTGGAACCAAAAGGTCGTAATGGTTGATGCCGTTGTACCATAGGTGGATGACCTCGCTTTCTTGTTCCCCCAGCGCCTCCGCGACTTCCTCATGCGTCTTGTCGTCGGAGAGGATCAAGCCCGCTCCAGCCATCCAGTGGAGCATGATCCGCTTGCGTCTCAGAAGGCTGAAAGCGATGATCGCCGTGTCTCCGCCCCAGTTGGTAGACTTCGCCGTGAGGTAGTCGTGCTCCTCGAGCCACGTCTCTTCGTACGGTCCTTGGTCCGCAGCTGCGGTCTGCAGGAAGTCGATGACTTCGGCTCGTGCGACCTGACCGATTTGGCCGCTGTGATCCGCGAGGGCGTGAAACAGACAGTTGTCATCGGCGGGCATTCTTTTCAAGCACAGCTGTCCGTGAAAGTGAACCTGCCAAGGCAGCGGGGGAAGAATGAATGTGAGCAGCGGCTGTAGCTTAAGCTGTATGCTTCTGCAAAGCGTGAGCCTTTGCTTAGTGTCCCGGCCTGGATCATGTCCTCGACGTTCTCTTCCCTCCGCAGTTCGAATTGGTTGCCATCGACACAAGCCATGTTTTGGCTCGGCTATAGATCGTTTGGCGATCGTCTGCTAGCTTTTCGCTGGTGTCTCTTGAGCCGCAATGATCGCGGCGATTGTCGTGCCAGTGTCAACCTTGGGGTGCGGGACTGGCTCTTGCGAGGTCCTGAGTACAATGGCGAGATTCCGCTTGCGATCTTTTCTCTCTTTTGTCGGTTCGGGTCTTCGGCGCACTTCATGGCGACGGCTGCAATGAAACGGCAGTTGACATTGTAATTCATTCCGAAAGACGGCACACAGAGCGACTGTAATGAGGCTGGCTGTTTATGGCCCGTGGCGAGGATTTCCGTGCGTGGCCCACGTTCACTTTTCACGCGGCCTAGAGGCCATGCGCAGGTGAGGCTCGCCGCGTCTCCGCCCGAGCTGGTCGGCGTCCCCTTGTGACAGTCGTCGAGCCGCCCAGCATCTTCCGCTTGCCAGCTGCGGTGGATTCGATGTACTTGATTTCAATGATTTTTCCGCTGCCTCGTGGGGACGCCTTTTGCTTGAGACGTCGGTGTCGTTTTGCGAAGCGGCCTGGTGTCCAGGCGGCCTTCCTGGAGTCTCGTGTTTTCTGTTCGATGTGACCGAGGAGAAGTTCATGTGTCCAGCTCTTTCTGGTGATGAACTCGATCTCGCGCAAGTGCAAGCCTCGCAGCGCGGGTTCTCCGGTGTGGGCTCGCGCTTGCAGCAGCAGTTGCGCGGTGTCGGGTGCGTCCTGCCTGCATGCCAAGACGAGGGGCGGCGCGGTGAAGGAGCTTCGAAAGTTCGGGTTTGCTCGAGCGCTCAGCAGTTGGGCGACTGCCGCATATTCTCCTTGGGCTGCTGCTACGCAGAGGGCGCTGCCTCCTTGGCTTTCGGGGCTCTCGATGTCTGGATCCGCTCTGCGCAGCAGCAGAAACTCCATGGCTTCGAGGTTTCCTTCGCTCGCTGCGTGCCACAACGCCGTGCCGTCGGAGCTCTCGTGGAGGCCATTGATGTCGGCGTTTGCGCAGAGCAGGGCTGCCAGGTTGTCTTGTTGGTTTGCTCTTGCGGCGGCACTCAAGGCGGTCAATTTGGCGTCGGGGCCCGTCTCTTCGTGTCGGAAGACTGGCCTCAAGTCGGCGACGACGCTGCTTCGAGCGCGCGCCGACTTGAGGCCAGTCTTCCGACACGAAGAGACGGGCCCCGACGCCAAATTGACCGCCTTGAGTGCCGCCGCAAGAGCAAACCAACAAGACAACCTGGCAGCCCTGCTCTGCGCAAACGCCGACATCAATGGCCTCCACGAGAGCTCCGACGGCACGGCATTGTGGCACGCAGCGAGCGAAGGAAACCTCGAAGCCATGGAGTTTCTGCTGCTGCGCAGAGCGGATCCAGACATCGAGAGCCCCGAAAGCCAAGGAGGCAGCGCCCTCTGCGTAGCAGCAGCCCAAGGAGAATATGCGGCAGTCGCCCAACTGCTGAGCGCTCGAGCAAACCCGAACTTTCGAAGCTCCTTCACCGCGCCGCCCCTCGTCTTGGCATGCAGGCAGGACGCACCCGACACCGCGCAACTGCTGCTGCAAGCGCGAGCCCACACCGGAGAACCCGCGCTGCGAGGCTTGCACTTGCGCGAGATCGAGTTCATCACCAGAAAGAGCTGGACACATGAACTTCTCCTCGGTCACATCGAACAGAAAACACGAGACTCCAGGAAGGCCGCCTGGACACCAGGCCGCTTCGCAAAACGACACCGACGTCTCAAGCAAAAGGCGTCCCCACGAGGCAGCGGAAAAATCATTGAAATCAAGTACATCGAATCCACCGCAGCTGGCAAGCGGAAGATGCTGGGCGGCTCGACGACTGTCACAAGGGGACGCCGACCAGCTCGGGCGGAGACGCGGCGAGCCTCACCTGCGCATGGCCTCTAGGCCGCGTGAAAAGTGAACGTGGGCCACGCACGGAAATCCTCGCCACGGGCCATAAACAGCCAGCCTCATTACAGTCGCTCTGTGTGCCGTCTTTCGGAATGAATTACAATGTCAACTGCCGTTTCATTGCAGCCGTCGCCATGAAGTGCGCCGAAGACCCGAACCGACAAAAGAGAGAAAAGATCGCAAGCGGAATCTCGCCATTGTACTCAGGACCTCGCAAGAGCCAGTCCCGCACCCCAAGGTTGACACTGGCACGACAATCGCCGCGATCATTGCGGCTCAAGAGACACCAGCGAAAAGCTAGCAGACGATCGCCAAACGATCTATAGCCGAGCCAAAACATGGCTTGTGTCGATGGCAACCAATTCGAACTGCGGAGGGAAGAGAACGTCGAGGACATGATCCAGGCCGGGACACTAAGCAAAGGCTCACGCTTTGCAGAAGCATACAGCTTAAGCTACAGCCGCTGCTCACATTCATTCTTCCCCCGCTGCCTTGGCAGGTTCACTTTCACGGACAGCTGTGCTTGAAAAGAATGCCCGCCGATGACAACTGTCTGTTTCACGCCCTCGCGGATCACAGCGGCCAAATCGGTCAGGTCGCACGAGCCGAAGTCATCGACTTCCTGCAGACCGCAGCTGCGGACCAAGGACCGTACGAAGAGACGTGGCTCGAGGAGCACGACTACCTCACGGCGAAGTCTACCAACTGGGGCGGAGACACGGCGATCATCGCTTTCAGCCTTCTGAGACGCAAGCGGATCATGCTCCACTGGATGGCTGGAGCGGGCTTGATCCTCTCCGACGACAAGACGCATGAGGAAGTCGCGGAGGAGCTGGGGGAACAAGAAAGCGAGGTCATCCACCTATGGTACAACGGCATCAACCACTACGACCTTTTGGTTCCACAGCCGCACGACGCTTCGGCCCCGCCGTCGCCGCTGCCGCCGCCGACATCACCTCCTCCGCTGCCCCCGCCGCCACCGCCGCCGCCGGAAGAAGGCAGACCGCGACCCCGCAACGAAAGAAACAAGCGGCCCAAGACCGCGGCCAAACCGGCGCCCAAGCCCAAGGCGAGATTCAGGGCGGCGCGGCCCAACGGGAACGCACTGCTCCAGGAAGAAGCCGATCAGAACCCTGCTCCGCCGCCGATGCACAGACCGGTACGCTCGCAACACGAGGACATCGTCCAGGATCTGAACAAGGCCGAAGTGACCTCGAAGTCCGAGCACCCGCGTCGCAGGCTCGAAGAAGCCTTGCAGCACTTGGCCGACACGCACCTTCGAGACGATCCGCTGCTGCCGCCTTCCGCCAAGATCGAAGACCTGGATGCAGGCGAGGCGTGGCCGCGAGTCTTTTGCGCCTTTCGAGACTGCGCCTGGGCCTTCGACAGCGGCACCGAAGAGGACCTGCACGAACACGTCGCCGCAGACCACCTGACGAAGCTCCAGCCGTCGATCAACCGGATGCCACAGCCCATTCCCCGGGACGCGGTCAGGAGCGTCTACAACGAAGCCGTGGCCATCAAGTGCCGCGCTCAAGCCCCCATCGCCGGATGTTCGCGGGATCGCACAGCACTGAAGAGCTTCAGCGAAGCCACGGCCGGCGATCAGGTCGAGGCGCTGATCTGCTTCTCGTGCGCCTGCATCCACCCTTGCGTCGCCGAGACGGAAGACAAGGGGGAGATCCAGTGGTGCCGACCCTTGGGACACGAAGGCGGCGAAGAGCACCGCGAGGCGGCGGCGAGGAATCTGCACGACATCTTCCACCTGCAAAAGTACCTCGACGCCTACGACAAGCTGACGGGCGACGTCAAGCTCAGCTCCTTCACGGACTTCCGCGAGTGGCGCCTGCTCGTGCCGGAGCGAGGCTACGTGCTGTGCTGTCCCGAAGATCATCGCTGCAGCGGGCATCCCGAACACGTCACCGAGGGCGAGCTGTGCGACCAGTGCGAGGTGCCACTGTGCCGAAGCTGCGCCAAGCATCTGCGCGACAATCAGCTGCCGCCGCTGAGCCTCCGGAACGACATGTGGACGGGCTACGCGCCCGAACTCCTCCACCAGAGGAAAGTGACGGTGATGGAGATGATCAGCGCCAGCCCCTGCGTGACGACGCTGCTGTGCTTCTCCATGGAAGCCAAGCACCGAGCCGAAGCCGCGCCGCTGGACGCACAGGCGCACAACGCCCGACATCGCCTGGGCGCGCGAGGCAACGCCCTGACCTTCCCGCTGGCCTGGGAGGAGCTGCTGCAGAACCTGCAAGACCACGAAGAATGCGTGAACTCCGCGGAAGCCCCGGCCGGCACTTTGCCGCGTGGAGGACGGCAGCTCGGCGACGTGGTGCGGGTGCTCCTGAAGACCAACAAGACGGGCAAGACCACGGAGGACGAGATCAAGACCTTGATTCACCAGGCGACCGTTAGGAGAAGCGTGGTGGTGGACCTCATCCTGGAGATGAAGCGCTTGGGCCACCCGGCCTTCCAGCACGCCGAGGAAGAGGCCGTTCGGCTCGCGGCCAAGGAGCTCCCGGAAAACGGCGTGCCGCCCGAGGTGCTCAAGGTGATCCACACGGCCAACGACGAGAACGACGACGAGGACCAGGAGAAGCTGCAGCCGCAGAAGGCGGCCACCCCGCACGACGGCCGCGTCGAAGACGCCACCAAGGCCGGCGCGGTCTTCGCGAACCAGCGAGCCAGAGCCATCCTCCCCGAGGGCTACAGCGAGGACCGCGAAGATCAGAACGCCGTGGCCGTGGCCGCGCTGAACGACTTGGAAGCGCAGCTCCGCACGGAGCGGGACAAGAAGGTGGAGACCATCGAGCTGCGGACCGGCAACCGCCTCGTCGACCAGTTCCAGCCGCTCTACTTCGCCACCGCCTTCTGCTTCTGCTTCAAGCACGGCACCGCCTGCCCGGACGTCCAGAGCAACGCCAGATCGGCGGCGGCCGCGCGCCGCCGCGCCAGGGATCCGACGGCGCCCGAGGTCGACGTCCACGACTGGGCGGCCGCCGTGCAACGCCGAGCAGAGACGCAATTCCGACGCGACTGGACCTTCGGCTTCACGCTCTGGAACTATCTCTTTCGCACCATGGTCAACCTCCAACAGAACAGCTTCGTGTACGCCGTCCCCGACGAAGCCGGCCGCCGCCGAATGCTCACGAACCAGGAGATCATGCACGGGCTCCAGGACGTCCAGCACGCGCTGCACCACGGCAAGTACCTGGACATCAACAACGAGCTCAAGGCCGTGAAGGGCGACCTGTCCAAGGTCCGCTTCGTCCCCGGCCTGGCGCCGGCCGCCCGGAAGGCGCCCCCGAGAGCAGGTCCAAACAGAGCCGACCCTTTGGACCCGTGAACATGGATGCAACAACGAATCGAACTCATGTATAGAAACCGGAAGCCAAAACAAAAACACGTATGCTGCCAGACAGGTGCTGGACAACATGGAGGCGCGGAGCCGCCACGTGCCCGGCACCCACGAGGTGCGCAAGACCATGAGGCACCAGACCCACGCCAACCGAGTCTGCTACGGCACTTCGCTCTTCGTCACGTTCTCGCCGTCCGAAAGAGACACGGCGCTCATGCTGCGCCTGGCGCGAGCGCGACAGACGGACCCCGCGCTGGAGCAGGATCCCACGAAGGCCTTCCAAAACCGCGCCAAGCCGGACCTCGACGTGGAGTTCTACAGCCTCAACCCCGAGACGCTGGCCGCGGAACTCCCCGAGTACGACGAGCGGCGGGCCATGCTCGCGAAGGACCCGCTGGCCTGCTCCGACAGCTTCCGCGTGCTGGTCCAGCTGGCACTGCGCCACCTCTTCGGCGTACGGTACTGCCCGCACTGCCCGGACTGCGCGTGCTCGGAAGCACCCTGCATGGATGCCTTCGGCAGCAACGCCATGGCCTGCGGGGGAATCTTCGGCCGCATGGACGCGGTCTACGGCTCCATCGAATGCCAGAAGAGCGGTGCCTTCCACGTCCACTTCCAGGCACCAGTAAACTGAAAAGACACAATATGCCAGCTTCAAGCAGAAGCATTTGCTTTGTGTATAGAACGATACGCGCCATGGATACCTACGAACTGTAGGACAGCTGCCGCAACCAAAGCGAAGAAAGTGGAAACACGTGTATATAAACTCATGCATCGCACATGTGCACCATTCCATGCGTTGCCCCCGCCGGCAGCTCTTCGTCCAGTGCTACCACCAGTTCACGCCGCTCTCCGAGCTCCAGAAGTTGGGGGCCGAGCGCCGCAAAGACCTGCAGCAAAAGTATTGCGCGTACACCGCCCACGTCAGCCGCACGATCTACAGCCGTGTCGACGAGTGGCAGGAGCTGCGCGCCGACACGGAAGAAGCCTGGCCGGAGTTCCGGACCTGCACGCTCGCGCTCAGCCGCCCCAAATACCAAAGTGCGGATGCACAGGTGAAGGCAACCCAATGGCGCCGTCAGTACCTGGAGGACGACGTGGAGCGATTGCAGCAGATGAAGCAGCACCACGTCCACTTGGCCAAGACGCCCGGCGGGCCCCGACTGCCCCTGACGCATTGCCGCGACTCACGGGACCCGACGCTTTGCAAAGCCGGCTTTCCGAGAGAAAAGCGATTGGTGGAAGACACGAAGCTGATCTGCAAGGGCTTGGCGAAGAAGCTGGACATGCCCGTCAAAGGCAAAAAGAGCATGCTGGGCATGCTCTGGGGGCCCTGCAACGATCCGAGCCTGAACGGCAACCACCCGGCCATGCTGGCGGGCCTCCGCTGCAACGGCGACGTCCAGCTGCCATACCGCTTCCCCGTCACAGAAGACGTCCACGACGACCAGGACTGCAACGACCCCGCCTGCCGAACAGCAGACCTCGTCGACTTGATCCGCGAAGCCCAGCTCAACCAAGCGGCCCAAGCTGGCTATGCCTGCGACTACCAGAACAAACGCCTACCCATCGCCGTGCACGAGACAAAGGAATGGCAGAAAAGCCAGCAGGACTTGGCGGCTGAGCTCGATGGCAACACCTCCAGCGGCTACGTGGGGGCCCGTGCGGCCAAGCGCCTCATGACCCAGTGCTATGCGCGCGGGGTCTGCCGCGGCGCCGTCGAGTGCGCCAACCTCGTGGACCGCGCAGGACACAAGGACCCCACCTATGCCGAATCCGTCAAGACCGCGCCCGTAGCAGACATCTCCCTAGCCTTCGGTGTCCGCTTGCTAGAAGCGGCTGCTGCGAAGGAAGCACTGCCACCCGACCGCGAAAGGATTCAAAGCGACGGCAGGTGGCACAGCTCCAAGAAGACCATCAGCGGGCCGCAACTCTGGACGGTCTACGGCCAGCGCGGTCGCGATCCACGCGTCCGACACTTGTCCGCCTACGAGTTCGCCCGGCACTACCACTGCCGGATGGCCAAGCACCCCTGGACCGTCGGGCGCCAGGAAGCCGCCGAACCCGAAGAATATCATGCCCTTCTTACGGAGAAAGGCAAGAACAAGATGGCAGCGCGAGTCTCCAAGCAGCATCTGCAGCCCGGCGACGATTACCGCATCAAGGAGGAAGGTGGTTCGGATTGGATGCCGCTCGGCACCGGACAGCTGGCCCAGAAGTTCCGGCACGACTGGATCATTGTTCCCCGCAAGAGGCCCCACGTGCCGGTCCTTTTCGGTGCCCTCGGAAGCCGAAGCGAAGAGGAGCAGGCCATGAAGATCCTGGTGCTCTTCCGGCCCTGGACCAGCAATCCTGAAGATGCCACGGACCAAGTGCCCTACATCGGCGACCTTCGCCCGCCGGACAACATGAGCAGCTGGCGGCGTGCCCTGCAACTCTGGCTGTCCACATGGGGCTTCCCCACGGAAGAGGTCAAGCGCTACGTGCTGAACTACGCCTTCGTCTTCTGTCTCCCGCGACAGTATCAGCCGGACGAC